ATTAAAATATATTTGTCAATTGATTAAACTTGAACTTGTTTATTCGATTTTGCTGTAATGAATGGTGCTGTAATGTTTGAATAACAATGTGGTGTTTGCATTTTCTTTGTGCTTGGTGTATTGATGGTTGTTTTGTGCTTAGTTCATTGTGAATGTTGGTCCAACAACCGTGGTTGTTTTCCTTTTCATTTATTTTTTGGTGCTTAGTTCATTGTCAATGGTTGTTTTGTGCTTAGTTCATTGTAAATGTTGCCTTTTTTGAAGAGAAAAGGATTGCGTGGAAGTTTGGTTTGAAATTAAATGATTTAAGGGTTTGGTGCATCAAAAAATTTATAAAAACCTTGTCTTTATAAAATCATTTTAAGGGTTTGTTTATAAAATGAATGTTGAAAATGGTTGTTGGTTGGTTCTTTATTGTTTTGTAAATTGGTGTGTGTATTCGCAATAAGTTTCCCGGTCCTGCATAAGTATTTTATTGCTAGCTTTTTCTTCCCCGTTAAGTTGCTAATAATGTTCCATTGTTTTCAATTTGAATTTAAAAATTTTCGTGGAATGAGTATGTTTCCCTTTTGCAGAGTGCATTTGCTGCCTTCGTTTGTATGTTGAGGTTTTAGAGTGCTATGTTCATTGAATTGTGCCAATATTTTTGATTTATTGAGAATTTGTTTTTGTATTACGGTGTAGTGTTTTTGGATCTTATATGTTCAACGGGTCTAATGTGACTGCAAAATTGTTTTTTTACTGGAAAGTATTTTTTGTGCCTAATGGGAAATGAATATTCAATATTAAGTATACCCTTTTTAGGGTTTTTTTCTTCAATTCTAATTTTTGTAGAAATGTAAATGATGCATTTGTTCATTTTCTTATTTTGAAATCAGATCGTCAATCAAACTTCTGACTTGTCTTTTGTTGCATCACCTTGGAGATGACATCTACTACTAATGAGGTACGATTTTTTTTGTTGAAGAAAGAGTTTTGTAATTTTTGTGACAAATCTGAACTAGAAAAAAAAAATGTTTCTTGTTTGTTGATACTGTTTGTTTAAGGAAAAACATTATGTTTCTTGAAACATGTTTTCTGCTAAAGAAACATGATTTTTCCTGCTCAAGAAATTATTTTCCTTCAAGAAACTTGTTTCATGTTCAAGAAACATGTCTCTTTGATCTCGAAAGAGCTCAAGAAAACTGTTCATTGCTCAAGACCTGTTTATTGTTAAAGAAACTTGTTTTTTTTTTTTATCAAGAAACTTGTTTCTTGCTCAAGAAACCTGTTTCTTGCCCAAGAAATTTGTTTCCTGCTCAAGAAACTTGTTTTCAGATATGTATTTAAGTTTTTTATATTTAAACAGTTAGTGAACTAAAATATATTCAATCTTTCATGATATTTAGGGTGATGGTTGGAGTTGGAGATGGAACCAACCTTGCAATTGGAGTGGAAAAATAAATTGCCAAACAAAGCCAGAAGTAATACGCCATATTAATTCGCAACTCGAACTTTGTGGCCGTCTTAGGGAATTTGAAAATTCATGTTTGGGACAGTTTTTGAGATTCGATAGTGATGCCTATTATAGTGGAAAACTCCTCCTTTCTTTACTTGTTCGGGAGGTAGTCGTGGATGACGCTCGAGAGAAAGAGCGGAGGTTTAGAGTTGGGGGAAAAAACTTTAAATTTGGTAAAGTGGAATTTTGCCAAATTACAGGATTGAAATTTGGTCAATCAACTTTCATGCCCGACGAGAATGAGAGTTTTCCACGACCGATAAATGGTGTATATCGGCGCCATTTTGATGGCCATAGTGTTGTAGGCGTAGATTTACTCAATGATTTCAAGAAGTGTAAATTTTTGAATTACCCCGATGACGCAATGAAAGTTGCCTTGATATTGGTCGTCCACTTTTTCTTCTCTGCACCCGACGCTAGATCGGCTGTGCCGCTTTGGTTGTGGACATTAGTGGAAGATCTTGAGAGTTTTCAAAAATTTCCATGGGGTGCATATGCCTTCCAACGTTTATACCATTACATTGATGTTGGTATACGTGCGCCGGAAGATGGTTGTGATGTACAATTCTACATCCATGCTTATTTGATGCCGCTGTAGGTACTTTTGCTATTTTAAGATTTTAAAATTATTTTCCGTGTTCTAGTTGTTAAAAATGACAATTTGCGATTTTTTGTTTTTTAAATAGATATGGGCTTGTGAGTTGATGCCCGAGTTTGTGATTGAAGCCGGAGGATTTACTTGTACCGGAGATGGCCTGTCTAGAGGCACAAGGTGGCTTTGTCCGAAGAAAGTTTTTAATCGTTTGGATGAATTGGATAAACCAGAGGTAAATATGTTTATTATACATATAATTTAGTGCATCTATCATGTTATGAGAGTTTTCATATTTTTGATAACATTATTTGCATTTTATATGTAGATTAAATGTAATCAAATGACTTTGACGGATGCCGAGAAAAATGCTCCTTACATGGTTGACATCGATTTGGATTTGTCCTTGGGGTTGAA